ACTTTAAAAATATTAAAATACCCATAATAAATTTTATTCAATAAAAATATCTAAAAATTTATATAGCTTAAACTGCATTGGGTTCATGCATGAAAAAAAACAGAAACCATTTGTGTATGAAAGTGGAAAATTGAAGGGGTCCTGTGGCTTGCATCAATCAATATCGCATTGAAGACGGTAGGTGGGTTCGGTTAAATATTGTAGATAGAAATATTAAGGTTCCCTAACTATATGTCAGTATGCATTGATTGTATGCAAAATGCATACGGCATACCGATTGATGTTACATTTTTCAGCAAACTGAAATCTCATTTCCCTGTCATGTGAATGTCAATTCCATAAATTGGTTAGGTGGGTCCTGAACTTTTATTTGCAACCAGAGTTGTTCCATTTAAAATGAAAAAAATAAGTAAGAACTTCCCTTACGTGACCTACTGAATGGGGTATACTCTTTTATGAGAAATAGATGAAATTTATTTGAATTTAATTTTATTGTTGATTTGAATAGATATTAATTTTTATTAAATATTTTTTTTTTAAAAAAAAGAAGAAACAAGTAAGGATTTTTTTTTTTTTATTATCATGACAAATGAGCAGCAGATCTTTCGTTTCCAAGGAGAAGTGAGAATGGGATGAGCCTTTTGTGAATCTGTAAGACGGTATAAAATGAAATTTTAAGGCCCAATGCAATGCAAGACATGAGTGCTGTTAAAGCTTAGCCCTTTAGAAGTCTTTACACTGTTTTTCTTTAAATTTAACTCCTTAACATGTACTTTATATATTTTACCACATAAACATCACGTTATAATGGCTAAAACATCTTTCACAGGACAAAAAAAATAGGTATCAACTAGCATTATAAAATATTAGATAAAAAAAATGTTATAAAAGCATGTTATTTTAATAAAATTATATTTGAAAAATAAAAATATTTTAATTTTTTTTATAAATATTTTGTTAAAATTACATAATTTTTAATTATTTTTACATGATACTTTCATTTTTAAATTACATGATAAACGTTATTCTATTCACGGGATGTCTTTCGTTGAGCTGAAAAGATAAAGCTAGTATGTTGCGCTAAGGCTGGCCTATAATACTACGAGAGACTGCTATAAAAAAAAAAAATCTAATAAATTGAGTACTAAAATATCCCCTAAGCGATGGCATGTTTATGTTATTATGATTACTTTTGAAAAGTCTTTTCCAGATCAAGTTGATTATAACACTGTCTCTCTCCAATAATTTAAAAGATTAATGTAACAACTAATGCTTACTTTAATAGTTTATGTTAGGTGTGAGCTCACCTGCACCTTTGAAATGGCAAAACTTGGACTTAAGTGGAACATTTGAAAACTTAACTCTAGTATAATGATTAAATTGTTTCTTGAACGAGTCTTATTTTGTATTATTTTTTTTTAGATTTGTTTGGTTCATATAAAGTAATTGAATTTTACTTTCTTTTAATAAACTTGTATTATTATCATCTCAAACAAAACTACATTGTATAATAATCAATGGCAAAATAGAGAAATAAGGACATAAGTTTCTCCAAGGTTTGCAATTGAAGATATCAACTTGCTTCTTTTGTAATTAATGGCAACACATCAGTGCTATGGGAGCATCATCGCCCTCCTTGACAATTAATTGACTACAGGGGAAAGGTTTGCTTTGATTTCCCCTGAGGCGTAAGCTATGTAGCATTCTAATATTAGTTTGGTGTTTAAGGGGAAATCCAGAAGCCCCAAAAAAAGGATGAAGAGAGAACTTAATCTCTTGTTTTCATTTTTACGTAAAGATAAAATCAAAAGGAAAAAGTGTTTTGCTTTTCAAACAAGCTTAATTGCAAAATTTATCTCTTGATTAGTGAGACCTGAATAAGTCTAATCTAATACCATACCTTACTAATCATGGGTTAAAATATTTAAAAATAATTTAAACTTTTTTCTTTTTTTGAGCAATTTATAATTTAGGGGATTGAAGAAGGAGATTTTTCAGGATATTGATGAGATTCAAAACTTCAATTAATTCACTTAAATTACTTAAGGTAGGAATGAACTATTTAGATTTGAAAGTTTAATTCATACTCAATTTAAACTTTAGATAAACAAACATCAACTAATATATAAAAAATAAAAAAATTATTTTATAAGTTAAATTATATTAAATTATAAAATAAAAATTTTTAAATAAAAAAATTACTATTCTAATTACAAAATATAAAATTTTAGACAAGAAATGAGTAATTGATGTCAAGAACCGTCCCACACTCGGTGGTCAAATGGTCACCTCTTGCAAGGGACGTGCGTAGGACTATAAAGACTTGGGATCAAATCCCAAGTCCCCCATTCCCCCTTCCTCCAAAAAAAAAAGATTTTACGCTGTTCAAAAAAAAAAATGATGTCAAGAACCGTCCCTTTTGTCGTACAAGCTAATAAAATATAATGTGCAACATTTTTAAAGTGAGATTTGTGCCTATTTTTTTCTTTCTTCTTAAGTTTTAACGTAGGATCGTCCTGTCAAAAGTACTTCATAATCATGCTCTATCCATGACCATAACAAAACAGAAAAGAGAATATAAAAGTTAGAAAATTAAATGAAAGGTGTGCTAATTACACTTTTTAACGTTGTGCGATT